CCTCCCCAGCTCGTTCACATGCCGCACGCGACACATACACTTATCGCGAAAGGCTGTACGCATATCCCACTTTCCCCTAATAGTATTCCTGCGCAGCTCCTTCACATGTCGCACGCCAACAGATACACTCGGAGTCTCCACAGATATGAAATCCTTGTTATTATTAGCAGGAGGTGCGCCCAGCATGGAGCCTCAGGTTGAATCCACAGCCTCGGGATTACTGTAAGAGTCCCACGCTACACCGATTGAGCTAACTCGCCGGGCTGTGTCCACATATTTTGACAGGTGAAAAGGAAATTGAAAAGGGAAAAGAAATTCTTACAGAGGCAATCGGTGGATGCAAACCGCGGATTTGTGAACAGACAAGGTCATGACTGGAAGGACAGGACTGGACAGTTTTTAGTATTGGCGCGGCTGTAGCTGAGACCTTAATTCAATGGTTAAATCTGGTGGACATGCCAGAGCAGCGTAGCGCAGTGGAAGCGTGGTGGGCTCATAACCCACAGGTCGATGGATCGAAACCATTCGCTGCTACTATATCTAGTATCTAGTTCGTACTCTTGTATGTCACCTATCACCACTCAGGACCAGTTGTTCTTTTATGTCATCAATGGCCACCCAGCTCCGCTGCTACTGTATCTAGTATCTAGTTCGTACTCTTGTATGTCACCTATCACCACTCAGGACCAGTTGTTCTTTTATGTCATCAATGGCCACCCAGCTCCGCTGCTACTGTATCTAGTATCTAGTTCGTACTCTTGTATGTCACTTATTACCACTCAGGACCAGTTGTTCTTTTATGTCATCAATGGCCACCCAGCTCCGCTGCTACTGTATCTAGTATCTACTTCGTACTCTTGTATGTCACCTATCACCACTCAGGACCAGTTGTTCTTTTATGTCATCAATGGCCACCCAGCTCCACCACGTATACGAAATCACCACTGCCTATCAATCGTCTCGGAGTCCCTCCTCCATCCACCTTGAAGTTCTCCAACTACTTCAGTTCACCTCAATTTGTTTGAGACTCAGTTTGATCCAGGGAGTACACGTATTGTGTCAGCCCAATGCTTTCTTTTACGTGCATCATTAGCAGGGGAAAAAATCCAGAGATGAAGAGGTTCAAGCTTTACCCAATGCGCAATGCAGAGTTTGAAACCACACCAGGCAGTATGTGGACACTCATTGGCCCTGACGTAATATTATATTCAAAGGTTTCGTTTTTCATTATTACTTTATTCCATGACAGAATTCTCATACCAACTTCCATTCACATGTGAAACAGTCAGAACCGAATTCGTCCCTTTCCTTCCACTGTTTGTGCAACGCTATTCAAGTTCAAACTCCGATATTTAGCACATCTCCCTTTTAATGACCCCATGTTTACGCAGAGTCCTCACAATGTCAATCTGCTCCGTCAGCTGCTTGTCTATCCCATAGAAGAGGGCCAAGAGGGTAATTGCTGAGACGCGAAATGAACAGTCCCCATGTACGTAAGCTTGGCGTCCCTCGTCAGGGGATGTCGCAATTGGCACGAGAGATGATGCCGTGACTCATGATCAACCACCACAAACTTACCTAAACAGACGCTCCTCGAGATCTACCTTTGAGGGACAGAATTCCAGTAGCTGGTGCACTTCCGGTGTAGGATAAACCACGCCAAAAACAAAAGCGTCATCTGGCATTCTCCCAACGTAGAGACCGTTACAAAGACCCACAAATCACAACCAGTTTTGTACAGCCAATGTTCTTCACTTGGATTTGTCTATATACAGCTTCCACCAACCCCACTGCAATCCACTGTCATCTCATCTCAAACGCCTCCGTCTCTGCCTCTCCCCTCCCCTCCAAAGCCAACGAC